GTTACTATGTCGTGGATACGAGATACTATGTCGTGGCCACGAGTTACTAAGTCGTGGTCACGACTTAGCTATGTCGTGGCCACGAGTTACTATGTCGTGGCCACGAGTTACTATGTCGTGGCCACGAGTTACTAAGTCGTGGCCACGAGTTACTTTGTCGTGGCCACGAGTTACTAAGTCGTGGCAATAAGATACTATGTCATGGCCACGAGATAGCTAAGTCGTGGCCACGAGATACTATGTCGTTGCCACGAGATAGCTAAGTCGTGGCCACGAGATAGCTAAGTCGTGGCCAGAAGATACTATGTCGTGGCCACGAGTTACTTAGTCGTGGCCTAGAGATAAGTCGTGGCTAAGTCGTGAATAATTTAGAAAGGATAAGCCATGGTTAATGTCACCCAGAAAGATCATTGCACCTGAACAGTAGATGGCATCTAATAATTTCGAGGTCATTGGGTCAAAACTCAGGGCCACAGTGACGCTTAATGTAAAATTATTGACAAGTTAATAACTTGCAAAAATGGCACTTTTACAGGCTGGTGTAGAAGGGGCATCCTTGTACTATAGCACATGTCTAGTTAATTAGGGAAATTCACATAAATGGTGTTATCTGACTGGTTAGCTACCTCGTGGCCACGACTTAGTAACTCACGGCCACGCCTTAGTATCTCGTGGCCACGACTTAGCTATCTCGTGGCCATGACTTAGAAACTCATTGCCACGACATAGTATCTCCTGGCCACGACTTAGTAACTCGTGGCCACGACTTAGTAACTTCTGGCCACGACATAGTAACGCGTGGCCACGACATAGTATCTTGTGTCCACGACTTAGCTATCTCGTGGTCACGACTAAGTAACTCGTGGCCACGAGATAAATAAAAACACATACATGTCACCTTTGTGCCACCGTACATAGACCCATGATCTAATGGAAATCGTTGTCTTAAACTTTTGTAAAACAATTCCCTCTCCAGCATACACATTATCTTGCCTTCCTCGGTGAAGTATTTTGCATGGGCCTAAGCTTGTCATGTTATGCTTGTGAAATTATTTTTATGACGCCGGAGAGAGATTCTGTTTCTTCTAAGCATTATTTTCTACAAACAGACGTTCAACTAAAATTTAACTAACCGTTAAAATGACACTTATTAAAAACAACAACATTAAATGCAGTTTAATTTAATGACCTTAGTACTTGCTAGTTGTAGGACACGAACTCGATAGTTATTCAAATCAGGTTTATTTTGTTTAAAACACAACTGAGTTAATAAATCGTAATTTACATATATCCATATTTTCTTTCAAAATGTGTAGAATAAACACATAATGTACATTATTTCAAAGTCTCCTTGGTTGGACTAGTAGCGCACGAATTGCTCTCCAACTTATGTAATGTTGTTTACTAAAGCTGCTTTCAAGATTTCATTTTATTTAGTTTCGCCCATTGTTTTCTCGTTTAGGGCACACTTATTCTTTTACTTGGGGACCATACGCCACTTTTCATGGAATGGCACGAAATTGTCACATTGAAGTTTCCATGATAACCGCCGTATGATCAAATCTGCGGATGTTTGTTAATTCAAAATTTTACCATTTTCGTGTTGAAATGTTGAATTCTGCTTAAGCCGGTGTTGGAGGTTTGGACGGTTACTTGCACTTTCCAGTACCGGCCATGAACAGGCTCAATCAAACCAAGCCAGCAACATTTTCAATTTTGCCGTGTTGGGCTTTCTTTAGAGATTCTGTTTTTCTCTATTTTATATGTCTATCTTTCTTGATCATTAAATAAACAATCCCTTTGGGCCTGAATATTTTCATCCATTTTGGTATTTGTTTTACCTTATCTAAGTAAACTGCTTCAGACTCTTGCCAAGTGCAAACATAAATACAAAATCTGCACAAATGTTTTACATTACTTAATTAAAATATGAATCAGCGATAGCTTAACATTATAAAATAAAACTTCAATACAATAATCATGTAAATGTTATACAAGTGCACAAACAATAATAACAGCATCTGAAACCATTCAAGTTTGGATAATGCACAAATTTCATGACAAAAATTATGTTAATTGCAACATGCAAGTTGATAGATTTTTCATTTTAGACATGTAACATTAAACATATACAACATGTGAATATTGCAATTCATATGAAGCATTTGCTGTGGTTTTCAAATATAAATATCACACAAAAATTGTGAAGCATAAATCAAAATACCACGACCATTAAGAAAATTTCCGCTGACTAGAGTACACGCTTATATTTTCGTTCCATATTATTGAAACGTTCCTGACTTATTATAATTCGTCTTATATTCCGACAGGTATGTTACATGGTCACTTAGCTTCATTCAATTTCTCCTAGTTTTCTGCTCCGGAATGTCACAGTGTAAGAAAAATATTAAACATGGCCGGTACTAAACTGGAAAAACTTCAGTTTTAGACCTTGAAAAATGATCCAATTTTATTTAAAATAAACAATACACGCATATGCTTTGTTTCCCCCGCCAAAATCTTTTTTTTAATGGTTTGTTTAACAATCTAATTTTAAGATGATACTGAGTGTTTGTATCCGGAATGTTTTCAATCAGACATTCAAATGATCGAATCGCCAGCTTCTCTTGCTAATTTCCATTGCCAACTGCTTAGTTTTATGCTTTGAAATCTTCAACAACAAAAAGTCATATCCTTTATTTGAAATCACTTCATAAAAACCCCTATCAAAAAGATAGTTTTCATATTGTTTTAGTAAATAATGTTCTCGCTGTCTTTTCAAAGTAAAAATCAGAAAATTTCGTATTGAGAACATCAAAAATGTACATCTTTTTGATACTTGCAATTTATCTATTCTATTGTTTTGACAATTTCCAAGACCTACTATAAGCTTTGAAATCTGATATGAAAGTTGGTTTCTTGTATTTAAAACATATAAATAACTTTGTGATTTAAATGCAGCAGACATAAAGCATGTTGATATATGCTTAAACATTGTACCCATGGCTTGAAACAGTTTAGATATATATAAACACGTTTCTACACTTTTTATATCAGTAAAAAAACTAATCGAAGTAACTTGAATAACGATCTTGTTGATGTGCATTCCTCTCTATAGTACCCATGAGAAAAGGTTTTGTAAATACATTCGTAGTCCTTGAGAAATTGGGAAATATACTTTTTATTTCCACGGGGTCCTGGTTTGAATATGCAGTAAGTGGCGCTTTTAGGCAGTGTTTATATCCCAAGCTGCTCAGAATTATTGACAGGATAAATTTATTTCTCAGCATAGATCTTTGGTTGTAATATTTCTAGGCTTTCATCAATGATCTCGTCATGTTCTTCAGGAGATAATAACTTCCATAAATACATTGGTGTTATCCGGTCTGTAGTCATGCAGTTGAGAATATCTTGACCATTGAATTCAACTAAGGTTTTGATAGTGGATGTCATTACACTGACAGATAAAAGATGCACAACTGACAAACTTTTAGAGTTTTTTTTTACAGAAATCAGTTATTTGTAAAACATCTTTATATTTCCTGATAGCATCAGATAAGTGAATATCGGTTGAAATTGCATCCATATCATATTTCGTGATAGGATCAGATGTTCGAATTACATATTCATCATACAATATCGATAATTCAATAGCATCTACGATCATCTCCTTACTTAAATTCCGCATCTCATCTAGCAGCCAGCGTGCCTCTTTTCGGCCTCCTTTCATAAGAGTATAATGAAAAACAAGATTGCCATTTTCGTCAGCACAGTTTAAAACATTAAAAGAAGAGTTGTACCATGTTTTATTTATCCAGAGTTGCCCGAGCACATTGCCCATCGGTACAAATCTTCCATTTAAGGCAATATAATGCAACGGAGACCGTTTAAATGGTAGTCCACACTTATTGAATACAGTTGGTCTATAATGAGCAATATCCCAAAGAGTAGCATCAGATTGCTGCTTATTTTCATCTATGCTTTTAATAATATGTGCTCCAAGAACTTCGTCTGTAATTTGTGTATGAAATGCCCAAATAAAATTGAACACATATCCACTTTTGATCAGAAATAGATACAAAAATGGTTCTATGACTGTTTGAAATTCCTCCAAATTAAGTTCCCGTATTGTAAAAATAAAAGATATTTCCCATGCCATTTTGAAAAAGATGCAGGAGCAGCTTTTAAATTGATCTAGGAAAGTTAAATGAGAACGAGATAACACTGTAAAATCAAGAAAATTAGTCCGAGTCTTCTTAATCGCATAGACTTTAGCAAGTGCATAATGAACTGGTGTCTGTGAATTAACATCTTTTTGATTCAACAATTTTCTGAACTCTAACGGATAGTTGATTGTTATATATTCGATGATAGAAAACTGGCCATTTACCAGTGCATAGTGTAAAATATTTCTTCCGAACACATCAGTCGACTGAATATTGATATTACATACTTCAACAAAATATTGGAAGCATTCCAATGAACTAGTTTGGGGGTTCATCACGTATTCATGACTTCGAATATAATACTGCGAATTTTGATCGAATAAACACGTATGATGCAAAAATCCTCTTTCATTTATATCCTTTATATCTGGAATTACTACCGTAAATCCATTTGTCAATCGAAATAAACTTGGTATTGATGGTGTTATCGCAGCGATATGATATGCAATAGAACCATTTTTACATTTGATACTGCTAATATCAAGTCTTAAATCTTTTATTGCATAGTCAATGAAATAAGTATTTGCATCTCTTGCAGCAAAGTGAATTAGATGAATTCCTTCTTCGTCAGCTGAATTCAAATCAGTAATAATGTTTTCTTCTATTGCATACATTATAAATTTGTGCCGCTTATATTTTATAGAAAGATCCATAAATGAAGAACCATTCTCACAAAAACACTGTTCAACATATAATGATGTGTAGTTTATGGATGGAGAACCATCAACCATATGATATAAACCTGTCAATAAATCATCCCTAAAGTGGATTGTGTCACAATAATACGGATCGCATCTGTTCAGATGAAATATGAATTGTAAGTAAAGGCAACAAATCAAATTTATTTCGAAATACAGTCCGCAATGTTACCGTATAACCAAATAAATCTGTGCAATCAAGTAATCCGGGAAAATTTTTTATTAAAAGTTTTGCTACCTCTGTTGAACCTGACCAAATTGCGGCGTGAATTGGCGTTTCCTTCATTACTATCCACCATTTATCAAGAGAGTATATGATATGACTGGGAGGATTAATGCGTATAGTAAAATCATCTTTTATTTCAACGTTTTTAGGATTTTTTACTTCCATCTCTTTAAATGCATCTCTAGACTGTTCATCAGATATACAACTGAGGGTTAATATTCGTTCAATCAAAGACAGAATGACATTTTCATTTCCGGATCGAGCAGCATAGTAAATACAGTCGGATAGCATATCATTGTCCAAATTGGAAAATGTCTGTAAAACATTTAAGTTCCCCATTTCACAAGCAATATCACTTGAACGTTGTCCAAGGGATGTTTTCCAATAGATCATATCTTTGTTGTATTCTAAAAGTTTACTGACTATTTTCTCATGTCCATGTTTAGCAGCTATATGTATAAGGCCGTATCCATAGTAACAAGATTGTTTTATTTCCTTTATTGCGAGATCTACAACAGAGGAATATACAGCATAATTACTTTCTGTAACAAAGCTAACGTTGGCTTCGTTGTTTAGAAGACATAGAAGCTGATCAATATTTCCTTTTAAAGCTGCTATAAAGGACGGGGATTGTCCCTCGTGTAGTGTATTTACGTCCAGATTGTGCTTTATCAATAAAGCAAGTGCATTTATACCTTCTGTTTTCCTTATCACATTATGTAAAGCTTCGTTTACATTGGTTTGATTAAGGTTGTCCCTATCCAATGCAAGAAATTTTTGATTTAACGTATCATTTAAAGCTTCACTCACGTGTATTGATAAATCTGCTATGTCGACTTCTGGATTGTTAGATATTTCATTGATTAAAAAGCACGAAATATAGGCATGTCCGGCTTTTAAAGTAATTGAGTACTTTTTTTTTCCAGAACTTATCAACAACTCGTATAATGATTTGTGAAATATTGTCACAAAATTATCATTCCGGAGAAAGAATGACAACTTTTTCATCTGGGTACGGCATTGTACTGAGTCAGTAATGTTATTTGATACCAAAATATGAAAAATTTCTTCTTCACTTAAAAGGTTGAAGGATGCCAAAACAATTTCAAATACTGTCTTTGATGGTAAAACGAATCAGTATCGTCATATTGCCGATCAAAGTTTAATTCATAAATTTCTTCCAATGACTCAGGTAAGGACGTAATGTTACCATTTTCTAAACGGAATCTAATTGCATGAATTAGAAATCAGAAATTTCCATCACAAAGTTCAATGATTTTTTCAATTTCACTGCCATTGTTTTCCAAGCCATGTGACAAATACTTGACTTGTATATACTCTTTGGTATCTCTAATGTTCCTCGAGTCTTTTGGTTTTAAATAAACGTGTTCAAAATATTTTAATAAGTATACTTCGGTAATGTTTCTAGACGTAACAAAAAATTTGAACCATTTTGGTAGTTCCACGTGCCAATAATAACTCCAAAATTAGGTTTTTGCCAGATGATTTTTCAAAACATTCGTCAAGTGCCTCTTTAATTTATATCCAGGGAAAGTTACTATCAAAGGACAGCTGCCTAAATGGGAAAATAATACTTTGGTCAAAACAGGCAATAATGTCATTCTCACAAAACTCCTGACTGTATATTATGTTATCATCAGACATAATGGAAATTTTATTTCCGTATTCCTCATATCTTGAGGCTAAAAAACCAATTAACCTTCGAATAAATCTAGCAGGACTTTGTGTACTTTTTACATCAAACTTACAAATATGAAATGCAACTGAAAGTGATTTACTCTCATAACTTTTCTCCCTTTCTTTTGCACAAAGTATTCGTGAGACAGACGATGATTTTCCATATCCCATATCTGCTATTATTGCCACTCCGTTGAAAGTTTGATGATATAAGTTTCGATTCCATTATCTCATATAACCATTCTCTGCCAATAATTATTTCATTATCATAGATATATCCAAGTAGAGGCAAGTCTTGCTTGAATGGATACGTGTATTCTTCTGATAAACAATCTGAAATAATTATCATTGAATAAATGTATGCATGTATAGGGAATATTGCATCAATTCTCAAAAAAAATGATGTTTTGTATCGCTCGAGCTGATTGTGAATAGTTGTATTATCACGAATGTAGTTACTGCCTTTCCAAATCAACGAGAGTGATTCAAGCTGTCATAGCATACATGTGTAAATTTTGTTTAAATAACTCCCATCATCTGTACTCAGTAAAAGTCCTAAAAACTGAAGACTTACTTTTTTCTTATGTTAATAAGACGTACGCATATATAACGTCATTATGTAACAGGGTCTTATTTTTAGGATCAGGTCTAAGGGACAATACTCTTGCTTTACTGTTGGATTTTATAATTTAGCAAAGGGAGACAAATCCGCCGGTCTTGTCTGATACTTTTCAAGGGAGATTACTCTATTGGTTTTAACTGATTTTATCTTATGTTTACATTGGTCAGTATTCTAAGAATTCAAATGATTGGTTCACGGATCGTTGTGGTAGGGTGACAATCAGGACCTAGAAAATGATGAACCTGGACAGTCATTGCAACAATGAATGTTATATACCAAAATGTTCATTAATGTCTGTAGTATATGAAACCACCGGCATAAATTGGCAAAAATGATGGCGATCAAAGAAATCCAAGATGGCCGCCAAGATGGCCGCCATCATGGAAAAATTTCAAGAAATATTCTTTAAGCTATACTTTTATTGCCAATTTTGAATTTTAACCAATGGTATCAGCCCTTTAACATTATTTTAAGGGAGCTTGCATGATTTAAAACTTATTTTGCTAGTTTTCTGAATCAAGGCAGCGTCAATTTTAAGGATAAAGTTAAAAATAATAGAAGATACAGTTCAAAAAATGTATAAATTGACACCAATTTTATTTTTTATTTTAATTAAAAGAGATGCTTTACTATGATATTTTTACATTCTTTTTGAATGAATCTTTATCTTATTTCAAAACCTTTAAAAAAACATTACAAAAGTTCAAACATGTACATGCATATAAGAGTGTAGAAAAAAGCAGTAACATTATTTGTTAACTAAGTTCTTTCACGTGTATGTTGTACATAAACAATGATACATTTGTTTATATCAATGTAAAAATTCAGCAAAACCAAAACAAAAATCAGTGGTTCAATTTAATAAAATTTAAAGGGTTTTCAATTTATTTTCTACAGTAACTTTCAATACGTTTTTGACACAGTGATTTATTTGTAATTTAAATTAATTGTCAAACCATAGTCAATGTAACACTTAGTGTATTTCTTTTCAATTTCACTATGGACAACCATCATCTTGATTATCATTTGTCTCAACAATGGATATGCCCTTGTAAAACCCCTTTGCAAGAACAGGCTATTATGGTACACGGCTGTTCATTGCCCAAACAAACACAATCATCACTGCAAAGATTAGAACAAGTATATACATGGTCACTCAAAAGTTCGGGTACGACTGAAGGTTGTGTCATAACCTGTGGATTGTACATTCCTAACTATATCCAAAGTTAATGAAGTGGAGGAATTATTGTTTTCAAAGATGAACGCCATACGAATAACTGAAGTATACATCGCAGTAAATGAAGAACAAAGCTGTCATTTGTTGGATATGACCCCCTTTTTGCAAAGAACCCGGGATGATCAAAGAACATTAAGGGAGGTGCAATGATGTCTATACGAGAGACCATCAAACTTAAATACAGCAGTGTTAGCATGAATTGGTAGTACCAGATCTTTCCCTAGGCCAGTAAGATTTTTAAGATTATTAACAGCCTTACACATTACCTGAAAAGCCTTCCTCTTTCCTATACTAGGGAATGATGAACAGGTATCACAACCACAGAAATTATGATATTTCACTGCTGTGAAGGCAGAACATTGAAATTTTTACTGTATGTACTGGAATATATCTTGTCAGGTCTGTGCATACTTTTTTTACCAGTGAAAGTAAATACTTTTTATATTAAGCTCCGAGAAATGATTTATAAGAAGTACAAATACAACAGTATCAGGACTGAAAAACAACAGCTTGCTGTACACCTAATGAGGAAGCAAAAGCAACATGCAGGATTATCCTGCTATCAGCTTCTTCATGATTTGAATCTCATAATGGAACATACGTTATACATGAATGAGTGACTTTTAAAACTGTTCATCTAATCCTCCTGCTGTATAATTAGTGGTTCTCTCATCAGGACAAGAAACGCATGCCAGTTTTCAGCAAGATATCTATTAAAGAACTTTGTAGGTGCATTTTTGTCCCCTGCCTTTTCGAAGAAAAAAGGTGAATACAGAAATAGGCTCCGTCCGTCTGTCCGTCCGTCACATTTTCGTGTCCGGTCCATAACTTTGTCATTTATCAAAGAAATTTGAAATAGCTTGGCACAAATGATTTTAATAATACGATGATGTGTCATGCGCAACAACCAGACCCGTACCTCCAGGGTCAAGGTCGACATTGTTTATTTGAAGGTATATGTCGTGTCTGGTCCAAAACTTTCTTATCTTTGAAAGGATTTTGTAAATACTTGCCACAATTGTTCACACTAATGTGACGACGTGTTATGCACAAAAACCAGTCACCTACCTCCAAGGTCAACGTCACACTGAGAGGTAACAAATTAACAGAGTCAGTTATATGGTATATTTTGTGTCCCGTCCTTAACTTCTTCATAGATCAAGGGATTTAAAAAATACTTGGCACTAATAGTCACAATGATAAGATGATATGTCATGCGTAACACCTGTGTCAGGCGCAAAACATGGGTCCCTACCTCCCAGGTCAAACGTAGAGGTCAAAAATAAACAAAGTCTGTTATAAGCTATATTTTGTGTCCGATCTATAACTTCTCCATAGTTCAAGGGATTTTGAAAATACTTGGCACAAATAGTTACAATAATAAGGACGATATGTCATGCACAACACCTGCATCCCTCCCGCAAATGTCGAAGTCACACTTAAAAGTCAAAACTTAACATGATAGATTTTTAAATTCTGTGTTTCATTTTATTGCTTTAATAAATGTATTGTTGCATTTGCAGATCTGGTATTGATCATAATTTTGGCCTGAAAGTCCTGAGATCCATACCTCAATTTTTTGAAATAGCACAATTTTGTGCTTCATATGAAACTTCCCTGAGGCGGGGAACGTTGGTAACTCTGTTACAAAGTCTTGTTACTTTTTGTACTGGATATTTGGCTGAATAACAACTGGCTGGAAAGCGGAAATATTTTCACCTGAATTTATGCGTATTTGGTCTTAAGGCTATCTAAAATATACCTCAGTTATGTGCTGTGCACTTTGACTAATTCATCATTGTTAAATGTTATTAGATTTTCAAGTTTTTCAAAGAAATCAGATTTCTGTGTTGACATCATCTGTGAACAAACGGGCATTCCCAAAGGATAGAACCCTGTCAAAATTAAAAAGGCACTTTCTTAAATGAATTTATTGCGACAAGTCTTAAATAAATCTCTTCACCATCAATAGGGACAGTGTTCAATCTAAACCTGCCTTTTGACTTTACTAACCTCCTTTAAAGGACTTAAAATTTTGGCATAGGATCAAAGAATCTCTTTATGGGAGGTTTACAATTATCTACAACAAACCACACTGTGGTTGTGGAGCTCAAAATGCGTTAAAATAAAAAAAAAGTATAATTGTCAATCCTAGCACATATACTTGACATATGTATCTATAACACTTCAGCTGTTTTGAACATAATTCATATTTAAACATCTATAATAATAATAGACATTGAAATATGATTTTCTTTTTCAAACAGCTTTAATTACGTTTTATTGATACATTTGACAAGAATATGCGCTTGGATTGACAACTATACAATTTGTTTCAATTTTAACGCATTTTGAGCTCAACACCCAAAGTTTCTGTGCAACAAAACTGTCTAACACAAAAACTAACAATATTTTGTTGGCCTGTTTTTGGACAATTTAGTAGGTTCCTTTCAACATCTAATGGAATTTCAACACCATTTGCAATGTTTAAAAGTTGAGAAGGTGGATAAAGATAAAGAAAATGGATCGATAAAGGTGTCACTCAACATCTTTTGACTGTGTATGGAAAGGTGTATCTGTGTGATGTTTGTTTGAGTAAGAATTATTGTCAGACGTGTAAGCCACGGCATACTTAGCAATTAATGGCCTTGCAAGAAACCAGTGAGAGAGAGAGAGAGCACTACTACTTATATTTAACTATGGGTTAGACCTATAATGCCTTCAGAGGTTTCCAGTGCTTCATTATCCGTGACTTCAAGGGGATAGACAAACTATACAGAATAAAAACACCCAGTACTTAGTTTAGCAACAAACTTGTCTTCTTAACTCAACTGTAAATATGTAATTCTCTAACAGCAAATAGGCCTGAATCTTGTATTGTTCTAACGGAAGAAAACAAGAAGGGCAAAAGTATTAATGTTGCATACTGATTTGATTGCCATTACCCATGCATTGAAGATGCCAAATGATATTAAATTGGTAAGGAAACCCTTGACCAGTAATCTAAGACAGTGATTAAACTACTCCTGACATAAACAATTTATTCAGAACATGATAAAAAATATTATTTCCCAAATTTGCTAATAATAATTACTTGGTTACCCATAATTGTCCACATATAAAAGACTTTATCATACGTTTAGTGTACGGGATTAGCCTATGCTCCATTTTATTGGGGTGCAGGGTACACATGCAGTAAAACGGCTAAAATATAGAAAAGAGGTCAAGATAGAAAATAGATGATAAACTTAGCATTTCTTTTCATAAATTATGCATTCTAAAATGATCCAAAAGAATTCATATCTTTGAAAATTAAATACACTTTTCTTTATTTAACTGAAAAAAAAAATTGCCATGAAAATACCAACATGCGTTTTTCTTATATTCTTTCATGTTCCACGAAAGGAAAAACAACGTTAAAAGTCGATTATAACAATGAATATCAAAGGTAAGCTTCAATTCATATCCAAAAATCTTCAATTGGTAGGAAAACATGAAATTCCTGCAGAAAATATATTGTAAACCCACTGCTTAAAGCAAAATTTCTTGCGAAAACTTCTTTTTTATCAACAAATTTTTATAAGAAAATACAAATCATGCATGTAAATTTGTTTTAATTGATATGTTTAACTTTGTACAGTCACTACGGTGACTTGAATATGTAATAAATATTAAAAATGTATCCGATTATATGCAAAATTTTAGCCATGTAAAGTTAGGAGTGAAGTTCAGTATCAAAAGCGGCCATCTTGGCGGCCATCTTGGATTTCTCTGAATGCCATCATTTATGCCAATTTATGCCGGTGGTTTCATAAACTACAAACATTAACGAACATTTTGGTATATAACACTGCTTGTTGCAATGACTGTCCCACCTACCCTATTTTTTATCAGACTTTTCAGGTCAGAGTCACTCTACCATTGGTTTTAAGCTATTTTTATGTCATGTGATTTCTTGGTGGGAAAAGTCATTGTGTCTTTGTTATGTTGTAAAAGAGAGGTTAGAAAAATTAGTGTTTGTGGTCAAGTTCTTTATTTCCTAAGCTGGTATGTATTTATCCTGACTGCTGCTAAATGCTTTATTGTAAATATGTAGAATTGCATTATTGTGATTCTGTTGTATTTTGGTTCAGTCCATTGATTGTGAAATTTGTAAATAAGTATGAGTTTCAGAATAACATGTATCTATCAAATCACCTTTCATCTTTTATTCACTATTAATATTTATAACCTTGCAGTTAACAGTCACTGGTGTGATAGTCAGAGAGGTAATAGTTAGATTGATGTACTGCACTCATCCCTCAGATGGTAAGTTACATGTGTGATGTATTGTGTATTGTTTAAAAGGTGAAATATGTTAATTGTGTGTATAATTCCATAAGCTATGATATTAGATTTAAGGACTGTTGCTGAGTGTAAAGAACTGAATTGGCCACTAGACATGTAATTGATTATGTTCTAGATTAGAGCATAAGATATAATATTTATTCATGTAATGCATTGTTTCTACTTTATTTTACTTTATATTTACATATTGTTATATACTAATTTCAGAGTGTTGTTGGTTTGTACCTACAGAATCTACTTGATTGGATCAGTATAAAAACAAGATAGAACTTTACAGCTGTTTGTTGATTTGATTTAATCCCGAACTTACTTGACCCTCAGGGGCTCGGATAGTTATATTTATATTGCGCCGAACCACCCCTATTACAATTACACAATTGTGACGCAACGTCTCGGGCAACATAAAAGTGTACAATACAGAAAATCCGGATAAAATATTATCTCTTCATTTGAAAATGACCGTTCTATTATAATTGTGCAATAGAGACTTTTTAAGAATTATTATCATTACAGCATAATGCATTTCATTACCGAAATATTTAAAAAAAAATCATGAAAAGACATAATAGAAATGTTATGTATATGTACCTTTGTAGCTTGAACTGTAGTTAATCTTTATTTTGTCCATTAATCCATAATTGCAAAACAATTCCAAATATTGCTACGAATATTACTAAGGATAACATGATGCCGTCGGAATGTCTACTCAAAACTTCAAATATGCTATCACCTTTTTCGATTCTATCAAGCTCAGACAAACATTTTTGAGTATCGGTGTGCCCCATAACATCTGGATCTTTCAAAAGGTCTTTCAGTGCATCAAACACTTTCAATTTATCCAAATCTGTAACCCTTAATATTGGATTATGTGCGACAAAGGTATTTCTACATTCTCTTAAATTTTTTAAGACATGAGGACGAATCATGAACATGTTTTTGCAATTGTCCCAAATATGACACGATGTTGAAATGTCTTGAAAATTTTGACATGGCCATGATTGTGGCAAGAAATATGGTGCAATACTTTCATATGAAGTTGGCCAGTTCCACGACATCATCTTGCCGAAGTTAATATCTTTCAGTTTACTGGCATTGCACAGGTGTTTTTGCCATGCACGGCACGTGTCACACCAACTGTTGATGAAAATAAAAATGACTTAGTTTATAGAGAGGTGTGAGAGCAATAAACAAATTTGCTTGCGTTATTAAAAGCTTTTCTACTAATATATGAAAGTGGAAATATGTAACACAAAGAATTGTAATATATGTACAAATGTGTATATCATATACGTCTTAAACATGACCTTGCATAAGTAATAGAAAGAGGATCGAAACACGAGGCAATCTGATTTGTACCAGGGGGCGTAGCCCCCGAGTATGAATCAGATTACCGAGTGTTTTGATCCTCTTTCTCTTTTGTATCATAGGCAAAAAATTAAAACAGATTACATGTTGTCACAATATGAAACCCTAGAAAAAAGTAACCAAACAACGAGCATTTGAATATAATATTTCTATCGCTATCCCTTTCTCTAGCGTCACATTAAGTAAACCCCAGAAGAAATGGGCCAATCAATTGACAAGCTCTGGAGTGGGGGTAACTACTACCAGTTAACGCACAATGCATGCATATAAAAACGTTTACCCCAAACTATGATACAAGAAAAACTTATTGGCCTACAATGCCGTTAAACTCAACTAAATAGGTCTTCAATTAAAAAAGAAGATCGTTTGTATTGCAGATATTATATAATAATCTATTTTAGACTTTAAATTCTGGAATCGGCATCTGTTTCAATTTATCCGATCACCATAACGATATGTAGAAGATGGTGCTACAGCTTTAGAATCTGTTTTTAGATAACAGTAACAATCTCTTGTTTACTGTCCAGCGGATATTGAAAAATGTAAAAACTGTGATCCCGCGGAAGCATTAATTAATCACATCAAAATAACATGAAAATTGCAAATTCGGTTTGATTAAGTCTGTACATGAGGAATAATGAAAGAGTGCAACATCGCTCAAGCCTCTAGCACCGGCTTGAGCGGTACTCAATTATACACTAAAAAGTGCTGGAATCAAATTACATAAAATTGAGCCGCGTCACGACAAAACCCTATTACAAGTAGAGAAACTGATAGCGAACAGCATGGATCCATGCTTGTCGCAAACCCACTATATATGTTGGTTTTGTCGTGACGCGGCTCATATATATGATACTAAATATTTACATCCAATCGCTGCATTAGAAGTGTTACACGTATAACCGTTCTATATATTCCCGCTGAACTGGACAGTTTAATGTGTAATAAAACACTTTCCGTATGCCGTTAAGGATAAAGCCTATTCCCCGCGGTCTGAAGACCGCAGAGTATTGGTACGCGGCATGGATGAGCACGTGACCTGTTTTTGGTACATGGAGGAGCACCGTACATGATTGGTTAATCGACCTTTTCGAAAACCTAGCTAAATACCGTTTGCCGGTACGTTACGGATTTACCTCTAGGGAATTAGTCCGAATTACACCTAATTAACAACAAAAAAATATAACGTGATATTTCTAATTTTCTATAATTATTTTACCGTTTAAGGTGGAAAAACTTGAATGATGTGTTTGAAAATTATCAATTATCTCAAATTTTACAAACCATAAATTGTTTGTACTGAAAATCTACAAAATTAAAATATTCGTAGTGGCATCTGCCATACTAAATAGAGATATTTTCTGCGTAAACTTATGTGTTTACTTTATTTTTTGCCCGGAATTATTCAGAAAATGGTATTTAATCATTTTTCTAAAAAGAAATAATTGTTTTATGTTCGACCTTGTCCGGTCTCAGGTCTTTAACGGTCACTAGTTTCCAAAGACCTTCTTCTATATTGATCGAGTATTGTCAACTTTATTCCTGATACAAAGTTAACGTTTATTTATTCCCCCGCCCCCCCCCCCCCCCATCCCCGAAAAGATGTTGAAAATAATTAAATGAAATATCTCTTTATATCATTAAAAATGTTCCCCGCAGGAAACCATTTTACTTGTACTGACTGGAATGACTTTTCTTTACTAAAATAACTTACAGATGCATTGTTCGTTTCCTCAAATGGGCATATTTCCATTGTACCGGACTCTTACCAAATAAAAGTCGGTTCAAAAACGTAAATTAACATTATTTCGTACAAGTACATATATAAAGATGACGAAATAGATTAATGGATTAAATCGACAAGTTTGAACTGTTTGAGCAAGTTTCCGATTTAAGCATTAAAACTGCATGCTTCCAAATATATTTGAGCAAATATATTTCAAGAAATACAATCTTTAGAAAAATGTATTAAGATCTTTAGAAAAGTAGGCAGGTTCAATATCTAATTAATTGTTTACATGTTATGTACCATTAATGACTGCTTTTGCTGTTACTGCGTTATTAACGCAGTAAGAGGTATTTATGTATATTTTAAGATATTTATTAGATTGCGCATGCGCGTGAACATATTACATCCGGTTGAATTTTCATAGCAACGGACAGCGTCGTAAAAAGGTCTTGAATCAAACGTTCTCATGCCGGACTCGATCCCTTGTTTGTTAAAATTAACCAAGTCCCGGATAGGAAAGTCTATTCCGACTAAATATCAAGACAGTGTGATCGTTTAAAAGAAACTATATATAGATTTACAAATGTATATTTACCTAGATATTTCTCGTCCATAAACCTCACTGCATCTCTGGGTACAAGGTTGTTTGCCAGCTAGCTTTCTGTACACATCTTTATGTATTGATTTAAGACCATTCCTCGTGTAAGCTTCAAGTTTAATTCCAGCATATGCAAATCCGTGAAAACAACAGATATAGTTCCTGTATTCAGGGTGTCGGATCAACTCATCTATATCCATATTGAGCGTAATAGAATTATTCTTTTGTTATAAGAGTCAGGAATTAAAACAACAATAATTTACAAAATTAAAAAGATATCAAACAATCCAGTCAGACGTTAAGGCCGTTTAACAAAAACAACTCCTCCAAAGAAATAACTAACTTAGTCACAAGCTACGCGGTTATTATATTGACAAGTTAAATTTTAAAATAAAAATCAATAACATTCAATTGAAAGATCTGTATGTAAAATTGGTATTTGGTCTTTTCGGTATCAAATTACATGCGTTATACGCATTGAATATTGATTAAGTTATGTATAAAGAATTTATCTGTTTAAGTTATTTTATATTATACCAATGGGAAAATCGTATATCACGTCATACAAATGGGCAGATAACTTTTCCTATTACTTTGTTTTTCATTTGCAGATCAATTTTGTGCTTTGAATAATAATTTAGGTAATAACTATTTGTTTGGATTTAGGAATGCATGACTCTGTACGCATTTATTGTATAGGTTTATTGGTTTTGACTTCAGAAGCATTTATTCATATTGCTAGTTAGGCTATCTACATTGTCTGTTGGATTGGTAAATGAGCCGTGTCACGACAAAACCAACATAGTGGGTTTGCGACCAGCATGGATCCTGATCAGACTGCGCGGATGCGCAGGCTGGTCTGGATCCATGCTGGTCGCAAACCCACTATGTTGGTCTTGTCATGACGCGGCTCAAATGTTTTATCATGTTCCATCAAGATAATTAGGGTTCTTGTGCTTTACAAAAGATGAAAACATTTTACTCCTTCTTTTTACTCAGATTTCAGAAAATATGACAGATTCTAGATGGATCCAATATGATTTTCTAATTTCCTTTTGTACTCGTATAATGTCTTCCAGAGCAATAGTTTTGTGATTTTTGCTAGTAGTTGGTGGCCCTATTGGTTACTTTCTTATATTTTATAATTATCTTTTTTTATGAATCATTTATGTACTTTCCTTTCTGAATAATGCTTGATACTCTAGACACAGATATACATACATCTTATTTAGCTCCATGCTCTAAATTGGGTAAACCTTCACTATCATCCTTTAAGTGTCTTCTGAATAGTGACCATTCAAAATGTCCGAAATATTTTTAAACAGGTATCTGAAAATGACAAATATACCATGCTCGTCTAAGAACTGAGTGTAGTCCTCTCAACTATCACTTATTCAGAAAAATAGAACAAACTCACCACTGTGTCAATGTGGTCTTCCAGAAGCAAACTACCCTTTTTTCTCTGAATGTCAACAATACAATAATATCCGAAATAGCCTCTTTCACACTCTATCGGCTTATTGTAATGTTACCCTCCTCATACTTCTAAGAGGTGACAACAACTTAAGTGAAGTCTTAAACACCAGTATATTCCAGGCATTTCAAATATATATGCGAGATAGCAAACGTTTTCCATAATTCTTTGCAAACTCTGCTCACTCCGTTGACATAGAAGACGTTGATTATAGATTCTATAATATCTGTTCTTTAATACAGTGTATTTGCACCATTTCTACTGCAATATATATTAATTAATATGAATCTATCTTACCTTTTCTGACCAACAATCTCAATATGCTATTTTTTCTGTGTCATTTTAATAGGTCATAGTATAAGCATTTTATGTTGATTTTAAAACATATTATAGCATGATTTTCTATCCAACTTATTTCAACTCTATATTTTTTTTACTTTTAGCTCTGAATAGACACTTTTGCCGTCCTCATCTTTCTACATTCATTATCAATAAAATGTTCTTCATGATATAATATTTCGAACATGAAATTTACCGCCAAATTTACAGTAATGAATTTTATGTTAGGAAAAGACCTCTATAAGCATTGTATGCTTTCGGATCCAATCCTTTTTCAGCATTGTATATCATGTAACTAATGATTGTATGTTATATATGTTTGTGTGAAAATGTTTGAAATAAAATATGTTTAAACTAAACCAGAGTGGGTGAACTTAAGCAAAAACCTATAGATCAGCGCATTATCATGCTTCAAAATATCATGCAAAATAAGGTTGTCATTTCCCGTCCAGACTACTCCAAACCAGTTAATAGAGCAACAAGAAGTTTACATCCTTCTGCTTTCAAACAAATACAAACAATTACCGACTGCTACAAATACTAAGTCTTCCCCAGACCATTTTATTTTTTGGAATGTCTTAACCGCTGTTGTTGTCATCTTGACTGGACGCATGTTCAAGAAGGATGTAACCAGATTGAGAATTTTTCACCCTAAATACACACCTGCCTTGCTGTTATCTATTCTTTTACTTTTTTACTTTTTATCTTCATACTGGTGACGTGCAAAGCCTATGTCCACAGCATGGGTTTTGCTGAATGGAAAATAGATAAATGATAAATTTTATTTCGGTTTAGTAATTTTGCATTGCATGCATTTGTTGGATATTTCCTCTAGTAACATTTAAAATTTTCCCAAAACATATTTGAATCAGGATCAGAGAGTTTATCAAAGTCATTTACTAATATTTTCTTTGCTGCACATCTCATTTAATTATTTCCAATCAGCTTTACCATTGAGAATTATTTCTCTAATTTCTCTATGTAATTGTAGCGGCCTTCCTACATATTGAGCAGAAAGTATTATTGTTGTAGACAGAGTACAGTTTCAGATGCAATTTACTGTACTGTACGTATTACTTAACTAATTTAAAAGAGTTTTTTTCTTATTCTATAAATATTTTTTTATTAACAGTTTCCTGACAACGCGCCTGCTAGTCATAATCAGAACTGATTGTTAAGCAGTATCATGTAGATGCATGTAGATGTAGATACTGAACTATCTATTCAAAACAAGTGTTAATACAGAAAATACGTGCACTGCGAAAAATATACTGATATACGGGAATATACGGTCCCATATTTTTAACAAATACTGGCGTGTACGGGATGTATTTGTCGAATATACGGATCAAGTATACGAGTCCGTATAGGGAACACCGGGTATACGGGAAGTCCGTATATGCATCAGGCATATACGGAATTCCGTATTTGCCCCATATACATGTACGTATATTTGTTCGTACTTTTGAAGTATACGGAGAATAAAATCCCGTATACGGAATTTATCAAGGTTGTTATCCCTAGTATACAATAAATATACCAGGGATATACGGGACCGTATTTTCTACATATACAGAGGATATACGGACTCGTATTTTCTACGTATACAGAGGATATACGGAACCGTATATTCTACATATACAGAGGATATACGGAATCGTATTTTCCACATATACAGATGATATACGGAATCGTATATTCTGCATATACAGAAGATATACGGAATCGTATTTTCTACATATACAGGGAATATACGGAATCGTATTTTCTACATATACAGAAGATATACGGAATCGTATTTTCTACATATACAGGGAATATACGGAATCGTATTTTCAATATATACTTGGGATATACGGAATTGCATTTTTTAGTTTTACACAGGGTATACAGAACTGTATTTCCCAGATAAAAGAAGGTACAGATAATATCAAAAGCATGCATTAACATATAAGTGACACCTATATATGACCGAAATGCAGGCTTGTACAATAGAAAATGTTTGATTACACATTGTGAATGGGAACTGTAAAGTCATATGCTTAAGAACTTTATCTTCACAATTGGAGTATTTCAAATAATAAAGTAAAAACCAAATCGAGTCACTCTTAAATATTTATTATTTCTTAAACATATATTCAATATGTATACATATATTAAACAAAACAAAAAACATGTCTTCAACAGTCATATATTGTTGTAAGCCTTATTCTAGAGGAACACATTAATGTAGCGTTGCAACGGAATAGCGATATACCGGTATGTTGCGATACAGAGTCATGTAATACGTATCACAGTACAAAACATCCTCACCGCGATATTTTCTTCAAAGATTGAATTATACATGTACATGTTTCGATATTTTCAAGCCGTATCCTTTATGAATTGCATGTTGTTTAAATCTAGAACAAACTATACCAACTTGAAGTTCTTTTCTGTTTATCTTAACAATGATTTTTATGAGCCACTTTTATTACACCCATAAAACATTTTAAAGATATTAATATCATTTTTTTCGTGTTAACATTCACATATTATTTTAGGAAAATGAGTCCATAGCACAAATTGATTATAACAGAAAGTTTTAATAATAACCATTAAAACTAAAAATCCGTATTCACAGAAATTCGACATTCAAACACTATTCTTAAAAGCACTTAAATATATCAATCATCTATAACAGGAATGTTACGTAGACCAGTGTAACGGTGTCTATTTCTTGACGAAGGAAATGTTTTCTCCAGATATTACAATCTTCTTCGGCATGTGTGTATCTGAAAATAGAGAGTTTAAAATCCTGTTTAAACAGTGTCATGAAATAGTTATCACAACTTTCAAAAAGACTATACACAAGCATTTTATTTAAGCGTATACATATATACATTTTTTTTTCTTACGCAAATTTCAAAATTATTTCATATTATTAGGATAAAGATGTCATTTATAAGCAACAATTTACACAGGATTTAAATGAAATGATTAATCTATGACGGATGATAAGTTATATTTTTTGTTATAAAACCTTTTCGAATATATATATTTCACACATGTAATATAATGGTATCTTTGTTCTATGTAAAGAGTATTTTATTGATTAAAAATATATTAGTACAAAATAACATTGTATTGGGGAAAAGTGCTGACATAATATTTTTGATCGTTTTATAATGTATATTAGCATCGTTAGGAGAAATCAATTCGTTCTGAAAAAAAAAGGTTTAAAATGTACAGATATGCGAAAGTACAACTTTATTTGCTACTCAGATGTAGATCCGTGTTTGCACAATGATATCAAGTTAAGTAAAATGCGGAATACCCAGTTATACCTTTCATTAATATAAAAACGTAAATCTTAACAAATTTGGATTATTGTTTGTTTCAGTTTCAATTATTTCAAAAACTATCTCATCACAACTTCACAGCAACGAATGAATACCTTCAATATACAATAGTGTAGATTAATATGTTTTATTGTTAAGACTGTTTAACTAGGTTAGTTGACAATAGAATCTCTTACAGTGTGCCATCACTAAAAATAAAGTGATAATTCTCACAAAAATAATCAAAATATCCTCCCTTGCCTGTAGCGTTAATCTGATAGTATGAAATCAAATTCAGATAATAAAATATACGTATCATATGTGACAATCGCATAAAATAACATAGGAAATATTTTGATTAATACATGCCAATGCGACAGTATTACGTGCGCACGTGAAACATTTACGTATCAACGCAATATGTTTCACGTGCGCACAAATATTGTGCGTTTAGTATAATAATTAAGTGACGAGGTGGTCAAGTCCACTATCCAGGTGTAAAACAGCTATCATATTGTGTTTATTATATTCAAACAGGCTAGCTATATAAATTAAATTATCAACAAATTTACCAACTCTCAGCGTAATGCAGGTAAGGTTGTGGTAAATATCAATACAAGACAGCTAGATTCGGATTGCACATTTTTCCCAAAAATATTGCTTTATAATTATCAATCAAGTAAGAAAATTTTGTATTATTTATTGTAAAGATTATAAATACTGTGCTATTTTCTATTAACTTCTCATTTTGTTTTAAATGTAGCTATATTTAGCCCTATTTAATAATTTGGTGCAAACTTATACGGAATGCATGATACTGTGCACAGACTGTTTCAACTATAGTTTAAGTTTGCACGAAAAACTCTTGCACTGCAAAAGTACTATGACTACTTCATACTACACAGTTTGAAATTTCGCTGTTTCACTCCGTAGCGAGAATTAATCTCAATCTTTGTTTTTTTTCTATTCCCCATTTACGTCACATCCGGTAAGGGAAGAAACTCTTCCCTGGCTGTTATCGCTTAAATGAAAGGGTCTATACAGGGTAAAAATCACTATCATCTGTACATGTATATCTAAATTATCAAATACCATAACAAAACTGCCTTTATATCCCAATTCATTTTTCTAATGTAAAAATAAAAAAAATATATGGAAAGAAAATCGCAAAAAAGTGAGCTCGAACTTGTGATAAAATTTAATGTGTATGACATTCTAATGACTTTACTAACTTTGCCATCAAGACATTTCAAATTCTGTTTCTAATCTTACATTATATTCGCTTCTGAAAACCCTGTTTTACATATTCAGACAAAGGTTGTTAACTTTAGTGTACATGTACAAAAGAAAATGTAACGTCACTCTCACATTATCAAAGCGGCGTACTTATCGCTTACGCACATAGTAAAAATAAAAAAGTACTATCATTAACATATATGAGCCGCGTCACGACAAAACCAACATAATGGGTTTGCGACCAACATGGATCCAGACCAGCCTGCTCATCCGCGCAGTCTGATAAGGATCCATGCTGTTCGCTTACAGACCCTATAACAAGTAAATAAACTGATAGCGAACAGCATGGATCCTGACCAGACTGCGCGGGTGCGCAGGCTGGTCTGGATCCATGCTGGTCGCAAACCCATTATGTTGGTTTTGTCATGACGCAGCTCATATAAAAGTGATTAAACTGTAAGGAAGTACATATCTTTTTGATACAGTAATATGTTTTAGAAAAGAAAACTAATTCGATAAAATAAAATGGCATGCACAGTACATCTATATTAAACCATTGTGTGCGTTGGAATTGTTTCTTATATTTTATATACTTGATTTTTACTTGATTTTTGCATATTAAAAGTATGGATGTTTAAGCATTTTCAAATGCGCAGCAAAATGCTTAAATGCCTTAATTGACGCCATTGATGAAGTGTGACATCATTCCACCTAAGAATTGATTCTAATAAGATATAAAAGAGAACCAATGTATTTATAATTAACCCCATTTATGCATGTCATGTCAAAATAAATGCGTGAAATTAAGGAAATTTGACTTTGCCTTTGTCTGGAGAAAGAATAAAACACATGCTGTCAGTACGAATGGAAATATATGAGTCTGGGTAACTCTTCTTTACAGACAGTACCTCCGTGTTATTGTCTTATTTTATTCACAAAGTACAACAATGAATATACGTGAACTTACATCTATATAACTTGCTACCATACTTTGCTCCATCTATAATTGCTGTAAAGAGGGCCCAGTTGCATTTCTGGAAGATTTAAACACGCTTTACACTGTCCTGAAAAAATCATAATATTACTTATATAAATATAATAAATATAAATATAAAGAGCACATTGAAAATATTTCATAAGTGATCACATGTGCGAAAGTGTTAATACTGTAGAAACGTGTTCACTTTTTTGTGCATGTGTAGTTATGTATTTTTGTGTGTTCGTGCGTGCGTGCGTGTGTTACAATATCGCTTTATGTGAAATATAAGTCAAAATATGGAATGTCGAAAATTTTGTGATGTACAAAGGCTCAATACAGTTTAAATTTATGTGTAACGAAATATTAAATAACTGTCTCCTCAAACAGGCGCTTGTTTGTGACTGACTCATGCGATATCACCTTATGCGTAATGTTTATCTTAAAAACTAAACAAAGAGTTTTAATTATAATAAGAAAAAAATATTCAAATTTTAATATGTCCAATAAAAAATCAAATGTAAATGTTGAAAACTCAGTTCATGTATATGCAATTTAAAATCTGGGTTATCCTGAACAACGTAGATAAATAAGCAAGAATATCGAATGAAAACCAAGAGTTGTCTTTCCTGAATTGCGAGTAAACTCGATCTTGCTAATGCTAAAACAATACAAACAAACCCGTTTTAAAACTTCTAGTTCGTTGCGATATTTTATATTCACGAGTTTTAAAATTCTTACACCGACAACAGGCTCGTGATCTAAGCTTAGTATCAATGTAAAAATAAACATATCTTTTGTACGGAAACGTATAGCGACCACCCCTATATGTTACTTAAACATAATTTTTGACAATTTATTTAATACATATTATATACCTGACCAATTTTAACAAACTTACTTGATCTGAAATATTTATCTAGTAATATCTACAGCCCCTGCATGTTGCTAAAAACAGAATTTAAGACAATTTATTTAACACACGATATATATATTTGACCAATATTTACATTGTTATTTGATCTTGAATATATATCATTTACTCAATCTGCTGTTAATATTGCTGGATTCAAATTTATGTGACATTTTTCTGTTCATTTATATGTATTAGTTATTTATAGTGAGGTTTTTTATTCGCATACCTCTATCATTATAAAATATAATATAACATATTTTACAATTTATATTTGATAATGAGGACAGAAAAATCTCGCACAGTAGAAAGCCTTTTTAAAGATTATATATGAAACATTTGATTGAGGCTTTTTGTATTCCAAAGATGAAGGAATGTTTAAATAATTGTGCTTCAGATAGTGTTACAAGATAAAGATTATATAAAAGGACAAACTCCGTTAGTTGTTGATAAGCATAAGATATGCTAGTGAAGTAGTACCTGATGTAAATTAGTTATCATAGAAACCATTATATTCTTGTAAGATATATAATATATATAGCTTAAAACTACAACTTCTGACAAATTTACCATTTTAAATGTATGTACAGAGGATGGTACATGATAAATATTAAAGACCACTTGATGTTATTATAGGAACATAGATCCCAAAGCTTAAGCGATATTTGTCTTATACGATGTGTGACACGAGAAAAGTCAAGACATTTGTATTTAATAAAGGAAGCAATTGAATCGAGTAATATTGTAAATCATATATAGTACGTATTTTTTTGTAATCTATCGTACGTTTTTATCTTATAATGCAAGATAAACTACTTTTAACTTCTTGACAAAATGGAACAATAAAACACTTACATCTTTTTAAATATGTAATTCTTTCCTCAAATCATATTTGCATATAACGGACATACTATAAAAAAGTCATTTGATATATATCATATAGGGATGGTCGCTATACGTGTTCGTACTTTTGACACCAAGGGTAAGTGAATTAACAGTTAACTGATAAACTTACCACCTGTCGGCTATATTACATGCAATTATACAGATATATATCTGTCATTCTTTGTATTAATGTAAATAACACATTCTGACAAATATTTTCAAGATTTTTATTCATCTTATTGTATAATGATTAAAATGAAAAAGAAATATTTGTTTGCTTTTTTTCAGATTTTTATTCATTTAAGAGTAGGTTAATATAATTAAGAAATATATAACAACATGTGTACAGAAACTTTAAAAAAAAGTGAAAAAAAATTGAAAAGAGCGGAGTCTTTAAATTGACTTATGTTTGCATCAAATAATGGGGATTTTATATTTGCGAATATAAAACAAGTATTCTGCACGTTAAATTATCAAGACTGAGAAAGACAATTTTATCTAAAAATTTATAAACATATTTTTTAGAAGTACTAAGCAATTCTCTTTTAAAATATGTTAATCTGTCAAATCTGATAATTTTTGTTATTATAATTGTTATTATTATAAAATAAATTAAAAAAAATAACCTATTTTTCGGTATCAATTTCATACATAAAAAAAATAAAATTTGTCGACATGATCTTTCGCACCCCTGATTTTAAGTGATAATTGAGATCGCTCAAGATTATAAAGTCTAATCAGTTGACCAATCAAGCATACATAGGTCGTGTCACACACACTGATTAATCCTTTAGTACGACCATGTCCAGGGGCTGTATTATACCTTGACATCTTCGATGTTTAAATGTCGTTATTTTAACGTGGTGTCTTTTTTACCCTAAAGGGAAGTTATGATTAACAAATTTAAGAAATGCCCTTTTCATTTTGTTTTGCATTTTTCAAACAAATTATTAATTAAACAAGATACAATTTAGAAATCAAAATCAATCAAACTCGTAACCTCCCAGTCTAAATTAAGGGATATATCCCTGCTTTAATTATCTAATCCGGCGGCCATATTGGATAGCGAAACATATTAAACAGTGTACAAATTTTCTAAAAACAAATCAGTTTAACCCTGAAATAAGCTGTTGTTCACAATATTCAACTATTCTATTGATCGCATTTTGATATTACAACGATAAAAAAACCTTTTATCCTACCTTGTTTTGCAATATTCTGAATTTTATCTCATCCATTTCCAATCGTGTTTTTTTCTTTTTTCATTTCGCCCGCGCTATTTCTGATTAATTGATATGATTCACGTGATACAAAACCAACGCTTTAATCTTATTGGTTGTTTTGAAAACGCGTGATATGCCTAGATACCGTTTGTGTAATAAAGCATTTAGCATTAATAATGCCACGGATTTAAATTAAGGTCCGTGCTAATGCCAAAGAAACTAGCATACTAAGACCTTAATTTAATTAAAAAATAATGCAACATTTAATTGAAAATATCATGTATCCATAAATGATAACTTTGCATATATGTATAATATAACCATTGATACTTTTTCATAGGCAAAACTTTGATTCTAATGCTTAATCGGTTATTTATTTTTTTATTATTATTATAATAATAATAATGAATAATGATGATAATAATAATAATGATGATAATAATAATAATAATAATAATAATAATAATAATAATAATAATAATAATAATAATAATAATAAAAGACGTTTAAGAAGCGCATAAATAAAGACGTTTAAGAAGCGTTAAGAAATATTCATAAATTACACAAATTTTTGAAACAACAACAATAAGCGGGTAAAACATGAAAATAAAAATAAAAGATAACTTCTCTAGAGAATGTACTTTTTATATTTCTTTATTCTTTTAGTCGAATTGTCAAAATTCTAAAATATTAAATTGTTTTAATAAAGGATTGATAATTAATAGTAAAATTTATCATATATTTTAGTTTGACAACTGTAATTAAATAAATGCATGTGTGTTGAAAGCTCAGTACTTATATTAGAAAAACGTTTTATTCATTATCTGCTCTTATGGAATAACTGTTCTGTTTGGGACTTTATTCATATTATGTCCTAGTTTCTATTATGCAGTAGACACTTCATTTCATTCAAATATGCTTTAAAGCCAATGAAGACACTTATTACTTTATGTAAATATTTTATGTTTATTGGAGGTGACTTATAGGCCCATTGGGCCGGTGTATTTAATACGTTGTAAAATTAGATTTGTAAAATATGTTTACACACGTCACTAAAATAAATAAAGTACTAACTTACTTATACACAGAATAAAAAAATAAAGATCCCTTCACATTATCTGCGGATTTCATAATTGAAATACAATTTTACCAGTATAAGAATATGTGGAATATTGGTTACAATTCAAAAGTCCAATTTGAAAAATGATTTTACTAACAATATATAATTTATTATGTTCTTAACTTGATTTTTTACAACAAATTGCGACAATTTTTAATATTTAAACAAAAAATTACAAAAAAAAAACATTGGCTATATCTGTTTCATTTTAATATGTCAGGTTAGAGTCTTTATAATATCTGGAATAAAATCACATAGATACTCTGTTAAAAGATCCCAATTTAATTCCATTCTTTCTTACAAGAAATTAACAGCGAAAATTACCGTTAAGACATTAAACACCAATTGCGCGAACTTACATAATCGGAGAAAACCGACACTCGTGATACCTTGCTGCGTTTATGATCAATATCCGGCTTAATCAGTATTGGCTTCGATTATCGCAATACAGCACGTGGCTGTTACGCAATATTATGTCAGAAATGAGACCGCGCGAAAATAATTAAAATTGGGGAATTCGGAACTTCATAAGATTTCTGTTCCAAACTTGCGTATAAAAATGCAAGTCTTTATGTTTCCTGAAATAAATGATTAAATAAATAAATGATTAATAAATAAATAAATAAATAAATGAATAAATAAATAAATGAGTCGTGATGAATGAATGATTGATTGTTTGATTGGTGATTGATTGAATGAATGAATGAATGAATGAATGAATGAATGAATGAATGATGAATGAATGAATGAATGAATGAATGAATGAATGAATGAATGAATGAATGAATGAATGAATGAATGTATGTATGTATGAATGAATGAATAAAAGAATGAATGAATGAATGTGAATTAATGAATTAATGAGATATCATGCACATTGTTGTTGTTTTTTACATATGCAAGTACATGTATTAAATTATTTATAGGATATATATAAACGTAAAATTTAAATACTGTGTGTGGACAATCCCGATTTCATCTACGTGATTACATAATTTTACCTTTCACGATTTCAACTTCACAGATCCACGATTTTAATATAATTAATTTATGTTTAGAACATCACAATTTTAACTTTATCATTTTCTCATGTTTGGCTTATCATTTTCAAAAATTATAATGATAATGATAAAGAAATTACAAAATAACATGATTCACCATAAATGCAGAATACAAAAAGTACTATCTAATCGCAAATCGCAATTGTAAAGTATTCGCTATTTATCTGCGGCTGTATGCTAAAAAGCAAACCAAGCGGTATTGAGCTAGAATACCGCGTTGCCTTGTATACAAAAGAAGATATTTCAATATACGTTGTCGTTCTTTGTCTGCATGCTACAGGTGGATGTTTTACACGTTCTGTGCACTGACGATATTATAAGTATGCAAGTGACGTGTTAATACTTCCAGAAAATATTACATCGTGTAAAAGCGTTCCTGTTTTATGTTAGTTTGTCAAATGTCTGACAAATATTAGATCAGACTATTTCTTTCCTCTTATAGGTAATATGCGATTTAGAAGTAAATCTTCATTCGCTATTTTTATATACAGAATCCGTATTTGCACGAATACGGAATTTCGTATTTTAGTAATATACGGACTTGTTATAAAAATTCCGTATATCATTAAAATACGGACTTCGTATATCAAAGTTCCCGTATATTACGAGTGTACGGATCACCGTATATTGGTCATATACGGACTGACATAATATACGGTCCCGTACATCTCCGTATTTCCAGTTTCCCGTATTCTTACCCGTATATTAATGATATACGGAATTCCGTACACTTCCGTATATCCATACCTTTTTCGCAGTGAAGAGCTTTCCAATTTGTTCGTGCTTAGAATATCAGAAGCTTAAATGAGTATTATATAGCATCAAATATGGAGATCGCTACACGTCTCATAGATATATGTAATTAATGAATATAGGAATTTAATATAATTATGTAATTAATGAATATAGGCAATTAATGAATATATGTAATCAGTGAATATAAATAATTAATAATTATATATGTAATGAATGAATATAGGTTATTAATGAATAAAGGTAATTAGTGAATATATGTAATTAAGAAATATAGGTAATTAATGAATATAAGTAATTAATAAATATAGTTACAACAATGAATATAGTCAATTAATGAATCTAGGTAATGAACGAATATATGTATTTAATGAATATAGGTTATTAATAAATATAATTATGTAATTAAAGAACATAGGTAATAAATGAATATAGGTAATAAATGAATATATAGGTAATTAACGAATATATATAATGAATGAATATATTTAATTAATGAATTTAGGTAATTAATGAATATAGGTAGTAAATGAATATTGGTAATTAATGAATTACAGGCTGTAATGTAGAGAATGCGTCATATGGTTTGTGCGTCTGTGCGGAGAGGAACGCCGTCATGAAAGCGGTGTCCGAGGGGAAGATGAATTTTGTAGCGGCAGCTGTCTCGTGGTATGTCAAACTCTAGTTTATATTACTTGTCATTAAACAAGAGTTTTAAAATCATATGATGTTGTCATAACACATGAAATATAGAAAATTTGGGACATTGTTCAAAAATAAGGAAAAAACGTGTGAAATGTCTAGAGGCTACACTTTTTACACTTTTTGGACACGATCCGGGTGAACCTTGGTATACAAACAAGATACTTAAAAGTAATTCTGCTTAAATAATATTGATATGAATGACAGAATTAAGACTTTTCAGAAAATATATGTATATCAACATTCCTGTTGTTAGTTTGGTCTATACATACCTGAGTAAGCTCGATTGCAAAACAAGTTCTTGCAATTTATATTAATTACTTTCGAGTCCGCTTCCTGGAACTAACCAGTACTGGTGTCATATGAAGGAACATGGTCGTGACCCCATTAGGGCTCGAACCCAAGATCCCTAGGTTGAAAGGCAGGCACCTTAACAAATAGGTCCCCACTCCTCTAGTTAGTACTCTTGTTATATGTTCTCTTTAATTATATGTAGGCAGAATGGTTATCTATATACACCTGTTTCAAAAGTCTACTAGCGATATAAACAACAAAATTCTGTTTGCAGAAGCCTTTTGAATGTTTACGTTAAATAAAAACCCACGGAAGGCCACCTGAGGCATTCCTCCACCGGTAAAGCTGGAAAGTCGCCATATGACCTTTACAGTGTTGGTGCGACATCAAGTCAAACAAAAAAAGAATGCCGCCGCTGCTGCTGATGATGCTGCTGCTGCTGCTGCTGCTGCTGATGATGATGATGATGATCAGTAATAATATTAAGAACGTTTGATTTGATTTTCAGTGACATTAAAGGCGACTTTAAAGGTCCGTGTGGCGTCTGTAGACAAGTATTTGCTGAGGTAAAATAAATCGTAATTTCCTCGACCCTTATGAATAAAATAGCCGTTGTGTTCCGAGTGAGATGATATCTTTATTACTCTGCTGCAACAAAATATCACGCCTGTTTAACTCACAACGAGTGTAAAATATCCATTGGTAAAAATGTTGTGAGCAACTTCCGTTCCTCGTTGTGAGCACCCATCTATGACGTGTAACACGATAAACAAGGTGAATTTTCCATAATTTATGAAGATTACAGACATTAATATAAAAATATCGGAATGCAGTTAGCTAGCGATGTGTTTTCCGAGTATGCACATGTAAAGACAATGCCTGTTGGTCGACACTTTGATGGAAATACCGTGCAACGCAGACACTCGCGGTAGCTGTAAAACTGAAGACATCTTCTCTCCGGACCAAATTGAAAATTGAAAACGTCGATTCTAGTGAAGTTTTGTGCATTCTAACCTGAAACAGATGCCCACAAGTCTTCAGCGTAAATTATTATCTGAAAGTCTTCATAGAAACGAAGAAATACCCTTTTTTGCTTTAATCCTCGTTGTGAGCACCATATAACCTCGTTGTAAGCAAGACAAGCGCAATGCTTGTCTGGTTTTAATATGTAATTCAAATGGCGAGAATACAATTTTCAATCTACCAAAAGCAATCAAAACGTTTATGCACAATAGTTTTCCTTTGCAATAGTTTTTCTTTTTCTACATAACTTGGCCAGTGTAACATGAATGAAGCTCAGGATAAATACATGCATGTTTATATCACACAGACTGCCCTCGATGTAGGTATATGTAGGGGTTTTTTTGTTTACCATTATCTATTAAGCTAAGAATATATTTGTGTAGTGTTAAAGTTACAACACACTATAAACTTGTAAGTAATCCTCCGTGAAAAGCGATAGTCGCATAATAACAGATTCAAATAGTTCTCAGCGTTTGTTTGCTATGTAGAGCATTTTTCCTGATTTTAGTTGCACTGTCTTCCCTAGAAAGCTTATGACAGTCTGTGTTTGACATTTAAATAGCATTTTCATCCTGAGATAGTGGAATTTTTAGAAATCTTCTTGACTTCTTAGGTGTAACACCACTAGTACAATTTTGGGTTAGCTGATTTCAAAGTTTTTGGATTTTCTAGAAGGTCATTCAGGGGTCAAGGTAAAAAAATATAGATCAGTTTGATGGTCTTGTCTATAGGGGTGTTGTGTCCAAATATGAGTATTATCCGTATACTAATAAGGAAGTTATGAGCAATTTTTAAGTTTTTGGACAATTTGACCTTCAATGTGAATGTCATTCAGGGGTCAAGGTCAAAAGAATATAGGTCAGTTGGAAGGCCTTGTCCAAAGAGGTGTTGTGCCTAAATATGAATTAAATTGATTTACTAATAAGGACATTATGGTCAATCTTAAATGATTTTGGACAATTTGACCTTCAAGGTAAAGGCCATTCAGGGTTAAAGGTAAAATACAGGTCCGTATATGAAGGTATTGTGCCAAGGGATGTTGTGTTCAAATATGAATCAAATCCGTTTACTAATAAGGCAGTTATGGCCAATGTAAAAGTTTTCGGACGGATTGACGGACTGACGGACGGACAGTTCAAAACCCCTTCGGGGTATGCACAACGCCTTGCAAAAAAAATGCTGCTGTGCAAAAAAGTTTTAATTGCTTTGGTAGATTGAAAATTATATTTTCACCATCTGAATTACATATTAAAACCATACACGCACTGCGCTTGTCTTGCTCACAACGAGGTTATGGTGCTCACAACGAGGATTAAAGCAAAAAAGGGTATATCTTCGTTTCTATGAAGACTTTCAGGTAATAATTTACGCTGTCAAAGACTTGTGGGCATCTGTTTTAGGTTAGAATGCACAAAACTTCACCAGAATCGACGTTTTCAATTATAAATTTGGTCCGGAGAGAAGTTGTCTCCAGTTTTTCAGCTACCCCGAGTGACTGCGTCGCACGGTGTTTCCATCAAATTGTCCACCAACAGGCAATATCTTTACATGTGCATACTCGGAAAACACATCGCTAGCTAACTGCATTCCGATATGTTTACATTAATGTCTGTAATCTTCAAAAATTATGAAAAACTTACCTTGTTTATCGTGTTACACGTCAGAGATGGGTGTTCACAACGAGGAATGGAAGTTGCACCGATGGATATTTTACACTTGTTGTGAATTAAACGGGCGTGAATATGGCCAAACACTACCATCAGTATAGAGCCAAATCACCTTGCACATATTTGCAGTCTGACCAGGTTCAATACTGTTGGTATTTTTATATTTTAATCTATTATATTTAAATGGACTGTTCCAAATTTAAAGGAGGATAAGTTCATTACATAAATTCACGAGGTGAGAGGTTAACAATTTTTGTTCAATATGAATATGTTTTGTACGGCTTATCTTTTCATCCCAGCTGGATTTTGGCGTTCAAAAACACCTTATCCAAAATGGCCGGAAAGCTGCGTTCGAGAACAATGGTCATTGTGTCCACAATTTCATTTTGTTATTCGTATATTGCACGGATTTTTATGCTCCCCGAAAATTTCGGTGGAGCATATAGTCGCCGGGTTGTCCGTCAGTCCATCCGTCCGAACGTCCCGAATACGTGTCCGGCCCATAACTTCGTAATTTGAAGTCGGATTTTACAACTATTTCACAGAAATGATCACCATATTGAGACGCTTGTCGCGCGCAACATTTGGGTCGCTACCTTGAAGGCCAAGGTCAAAGAATGACCTTGCAGCAAAATCGTGTCCGGCCCATAACTTTGTTAATTGAAGTCGGATTTTAAAAATATTTCACAGAAATAATCACTATATTGAGACGACGTGTCGCGTGCAACATTTGGGTCGCTACCTTGAAGGTCAAGGTCACAGCATGACCTTGCAGCAAAATCGTGTCCGGCCCATAACTTCGTTATTTGAAGTCGGATTTTACAACTATTTCACAGAAATGATCACCATATTGAGACGATGTGTCACGCGCAAAATTTGCGTCGCTACCTTGAAGGTCAAGGTCACAGCATGACCTTGCAGCAAAATCGTGTCCGGCCCATAACTTTGTTTTTTTTTTTTAAAGTCTGATTTTTAAAACTATTTTATGGAAATGATCACCATATTGAGATGACGTGTCACGCGCAACATTTGGGTCGCTACCTTGAAGGTCAAGGTCACAGCATGACCTTGCAGCAAAATTGTGTCAGGCCTATAACTTCGTTATGTGAAGTCGGATTTTACAACTATTTCACAGAAATGATCACCATATTGAGAAGATGTGTCGCGCACAACATTTGGGTCACTACCTTGTTTTAACACTTTGAACATTGACTGTGACATAACTCTGACACAACAAGAGGTATACCTTCCTGTGTCCAAAACCTATTCGGAGAGCATCACCCGGTTCAACCGGCTCTTGTTTAATTATTCCCTGCGGTCTGGAGACCTCAGGGTATTGGTACGCGTTTAACTATTGAGGCATGGAGGAGCACGTGACATGTTTTCGGTACATGGAGGAGCATGTGATCTGTAAACCGTACATGATTGGTTAATTGACCTTTTCAAAAACCTGGCTAAATACCTTTTGCCGGTACGTTACGGATTTACCTCTAGGGAATTAGTCAGAATTACACTAATTAAGAACAAAAAACTATTACGTGATATTTCTAATTTTCTATCATTATTTTACCGTTTAAGGTGGAAAACTTGAATGATGTGTTTGAAAATTATCAATGTTTCTTTAATATGTTCTCAAATTTTACAAAAAATAAATTGTTTATACTGCAAATCTACAAAATTAAAATATTCGTAGTGGCATCTGCCATAATAAATAGAGATATTTTCTGCGTAAACTTGTACGTGTGTTTACTTTATTTTTTTTTTTTTTTTGCTCGGAATAATTAATAAAATAGTAGGCCTATTTAATCAATTTCTTAAAAAGAAATAATTGTTTTATGTTCGACCTTCTCCGGTCATCAACGGTCACCAGTTTTCCAAAGACCTTCTTCTATATTGGTCGATTATTGTCAACTATATTCCTGATACAAACGTTTTATTTACCCCCCCCCCCCCCCCCCAAAAAAAAAAAAAAAAAAAAAAACATGTTGAAAATAGTTAAAGCTACATTTAATAAATTTCATAAAAAAACTAAATAGCGACATTTCATTAATAAATTGGGTTTTATATCGACTCCAGGCCTTATTTCGGTGTCAAGACAACCAGAATGAGTTTTATTAGCATACAAATGGGTAACCTCATTGTGGCGAAATGGGAAGTACAATTTCTGTTTGCATGAGAAACTCCGCCTTCGGATCATCCAATCAACAAACATGACTATAAGTAGCAGTCCTAATTTAACGGTATATTTCCGCATTGTAACGGATGTTTTCATACAAATTTAATCTTTTTACGAGATGATTACTTTCACTGAACCCCATGCTTAGTGCACCGTGAAGCTTAAACGGTTAATGTGTGTTTTCACAAGAAAATATCATATTTGCTGTGTTCCGGATAGCAACTTTTAAACTGTGACGTAGCGCATACACATGATTATAATCTTCATTTGCATGTTAAAATTCGTATACGAACTTTAGTGTTACCGTGGGGTTTTCCGTTTAACATCGTAATTTATGAACAATATTTGATGAGATTTACAACAATACTGTTAAATAGGTTAATGAAACTGTAGAATGTTTGATTTTTAGGCCGACGGCAAAATATTTTTACATATTTATTTAATGTAGCTTTAAATGAAATATCTTTATATCATTAAAAATGTTCCCCGCAGGAAACCAATTTTACTTGTTCTGTACTTGACTAGGTATTGCTATTGAAAAACATAATATATTATGATCAGTCAAAGGGGAAAAACTTGTATCACTTTAATTTTAGACAGACAGAGTTATTTACCATTGCAAAGGTGTCAACATCGTCGAGTATTTCAATTTTTAAACAGCTTATATTTATTTTCATACCACATGTATGTTTATGTTTATATTTTCAGTTTAACTTGGACTTGGATCTTTATCTAACCAAGCCAGACATGACGTACAAGAAAGTACTTCTAAGGGAACTTTTACCCATGGCTTTTACCCCTAAGAGTTTAGAAGAGGAAAGAATTTAGAAAAATGAGATATTTACAAAGACATGCCGCCCAATAAGGAGTGCTAGGTGATTAAATGATACATTAAAACGTGTTTTAATTTCATTTACTATATTTGACATGTGATAACTATCTACACGGGGATTTGGATGGGTGAAGAAAGAAATATAGGACCTTACAACCCGTTGTTTTTCTCTCCTTGAACTTGTTTAATCTCTTGAATTTAGAAAATAATAAAATATAAGAACATATAGTCATTGCTCCTACATCGACAGGGATTACCGTTTAACAAAATACTGAAAAGACGGAACAAGAAAATCATGGTCAAAATTTGTACTTTTAAATGAATGTTCTAAAGATGAACGTATCTTTAGTGTATTTTTAGTGACCGAGACGTTTATGATATATACACTAGGGCAGGAGTCTACGAGCTTTCCGGACGACCCTCATATAAATATAATTTGTAAGTACCTTACAATGTCAACTTGATTTGTGTTCGTACACAAAACTATAAAAGATATTTAAGTTGTTTTTTTCTACGAATACATGACTTATTTTCAACAAGTGCATGGTATGAAAATAAAGTGTTTATGAGTGGCGGTAGCCACGAGTGAAATATGATAATTTTCATACCACAAGATGAAAATAAAACGTGGATTTATAGGGAAAAAAACTTTTTTGTTTTATTATAATTATATATTTTTCATTTTAATGACATTACAATTTGAAAGAGTTGACCTTCAATTTTGTGTATTGGGAGAATATAAAAGAAAGTAATCCGGGAATAAACCAGTAAAAATACGGAAAAATATATGTTCAACTGCAGTGAAAATATTTTTACAGTGAAAATACGGAAAATGAAAAATACGCATTTTATATCATGATACATCTCAATATTTCATTTATAATTACATAATAAATAATCTTATATATGCACATGTACAATGTTATGACGTAATATCTTATGTATATACCCATGATAAAATGTTTGATGTAACATTTTTTTACATAAATGTACAATTTGATCCAATTAGTTGTTCTTAATTTCCTATGACATGCTTATAATATAAAATGATATGTATTAATGATGTATATTGCAATACATTCACAGGGGTGGTATTAAAGATGTAAAAACATATTATCCTCGTAAAAAACGTTTCTTACTACATGTACAATTAATGAAATGATGAAACTTGTAATTTATATTCAATCAAGTCTATTTTTTATTATGTTGCCATAACAATATCTCATCTAACAAAAATAATAATAACAACAACAAAAAAAACAGATAATAATATAATTGCACTGCTCTTAATCCGAGACAGTCGGATATGTTAAGTAGGTATTAAAAACGCATATTTAACCTCAAAATACCGTTCCAGTTTTGAGACAAGTTAACTTTCGGAATATAATAAACGCATTGATATTTGTATAAACCAAGTAAACAATCTTAAAAAATAAAAATCCAGTTAATTTGAAAGATACAAATTTACTGGTGTTGAAATATTTTTAAACAAAAAAGAACCGGTTTACACGGGCATTGTATGATTATTTAATAATATAAAAAATGAACATATTTCAAAGGGACTCCGCTGAGGTTTTTTGACAGGATATGACAGGAAATGATTTTTCGTGATTAATTTTCGATTTGGTATCTGTCTCGACCATTAACTTACGTAGAAAAGTTTTCCCAGAATAATGATTCTACTTGTGAAAGATGATCCCAAATTGAAAAAAAAAAAGATGATCCCAAATTGAAAAAAAAAGTGTATATCAAATCGGTCCGAGAATAACACAAGCAAACGTATTTCAATGTATGTCTTAGTATATTTCTTAATTATCGTGTGCTTAGATCTATGTAAGAAATTTAAATGTTCTCGGGCTTTTGCAAATGGACCTCATTGGAGTTCTTTTTAAACACGTACACAGAGGTGCAGCATGGCTTATTTGGCTATGAGGATGTTAGAAAGTCATTATTTATTATAAAGATGGTTGGAGTGGCTTCTCTTCCCCCAATGATGACGTTGTTAGTTTCAGATACGAAAAGTGGTGTTTTAGTTCAGAAAATATGAGTCTATTAATACACATTTCTTGTTTAGACACTGTGAAATCCATGTCAAGACCACAGTCATGATGAATTTTCACATTTTACTTTGGAAAGATAATCTCATGTAAATTTGTTATTTTAAAGCATGAATCGAACCAGCGATTTTAGTTTAAAGGCAGTCGCCTGAAACATTTTCAGTCAACCGCTCATCTTTAATCTTCTCTTTCAGTTGTCAGAGATCCTAAGGCTACACTTCTCTTCATACAATAATTTCTTTTCGTTTGTACATGGATGTTTTTTTTGTTTTTTTAACCCGTTTCACGTATAAATCTTAAAACACTGGTCTCGACTATATAACAAACTTACGCCACTGCAGAGTGTACTCAGCCCCCAAAATATGTCGTTTACAGATATAACAGCTACGCTACTGTATTGTTTACAGTTGCTCCACTTCACATGTATAAACCGCGTCAATAAGTAGTCTAATTTATTTAACATAGTACGTGAGAACTTAGCAATGGATGTTTCAACTCTAGGTATGTTATAACTTAGTTAAATGAATTAAATTTTATGCATATATATGTTTTATTTCCAACAGTTGCTAGCTTTAATTGTAATGCATTTAGACAATCAATTCTTTCACATTATGGAGAAAAAATGTACGTTACACGATAAAGCTTAACTGCAATAATCGATCTCCGATAAGACTTCCTTGTACCATATATTTTGTCTAAAACATAGCCATGGTTGTGTACAGAATGGCTGAATATTTTACAATGAATGAGAAACGTTTTTATTACCACAAGTTAAGTAAAGAAGATATTACAAACAAACTGTTATGATGCAAGTATATTCTAAATTACTTAAACATTAAGATTAATGTGATGTTTTTTTTTAAGCACAGTATCGACATTAAATATACAAATATACATGCACGTTATACTTATATAGATGGCAAGCTACAAGAACTGATTAAAGCTGCGGATAAAGTAAAAGAAAATGCATATTGTCCATACAGTAATTTCAGAGTTGGGGCCGCCGTGTTGTGCGCTGATGGGTCTATATATGCAGGTATACTTACTAGTATATTTTGAAAATAGTAAAACAAAAAAAAACCATTTAGTTTTAATTTGATTGTGGTTATGTTTGATATTTTACTTGTTTTATGTGAATGTAAACTTCAATTTATCATGCAATTATTATTTGTTTTCGTATATAATATATATATATATATATATATATATATATATATATATATATATATATATATATATATATATATATATATATGTGTGTAATATTTAACGTCAAATGATTGTAAAATGTTGTATCTAATAACAGTTAATTATTAATATTAAATTAAGTATGCAGATACATGTTCAAGTTTTGCAAGAATTCTTAATGGTTGATAATAAATTTAATGTTCATCACGTACATTGTCAATCTGTGTATATTTCCACGAGCAGGAGTTACACTACCAAAATAAACCAAGATATTATGTATGATTTAATCGTTCATCCTGTTTAAAATATAATTACATGTGATTTAATCTAGTTAATAAATCTCTGAAACATTTCAGAAAAAAGTGTAAATGTGTAATTTGCTTTCATGAACAATTATACGACAAAAATGAGAACCTTTGATTTAAGACCAGCATTGAAATAATTCACTTTGATCAATTATGTGTTAAGAAAACTGCCTTTGGAGGACAATTTGAAAATGGTGTACCTTGTATTCATAGATCCCAGTCATTAAGCGGCCGTTGAAGACAGGGTTTTGTAAACATTTCAATATGATTTACAGGTTGTAATGTAGAGAATGCATCTTATGGTGTCAGTGTTTGCGCGGAACGTAATGCAGTAATGAAAGCTGTAACAGAGGGAAATAAATCATTTAAAGCATTGGCAGTATGTTGGTAAGTTTACGACCGCCTACCTTTCTAGAACGACCACTGCCTTTCTATTACTACCATATCAGTTTTACGATCGTCTTCACATTGAGAGCAACCGTATTTCTTCAAAAACGACCACCTACATATCTATAACAAATTTACATTCTTCCTTTACACCATTAACCTCTTTAGAACAACATTCCCTTCATAAACGACCACATAACCTTCTATATTACGAGCGTTTACATTGTTTGGTCGTTTAACATTCTATAATGACTGCACTTTTCAAAACGACCATTTACCGTTCAAGAGCGACCTTATTTCAAAATAAAACATTGTACTCTTTTAGAACGTTCATATTCTTTCATCAAAATGACATAAAACCTTTCTTAAACGACCACACTGCATTGTAAAATGACCAATTTCTTTTGATAGATTAATTTAATTAAAAAGTATGTAAAGTTCGTCAATTACGACTTTTCGCCCTGTTGTTATACTTCTTTTGATATCGTTAGATGAAATTTTCAATAAAATACACGCACATTGTACATATAATATAATCTTCAAATTAAGCATGTTATATTATTTTATTTTTCAGTGATGTGAAGGGAGAATTTACAGGACCATGTGGTATATGTAGACAAGTGTTGTCAGAGGTAACTATATAATAAATGCACTGATCAGTAAATTTGAATATATTATATGTTATTTTGGTTTTGGAGTGATATATGTGGATATATTACCTGTTAAGATTTTATATCACCCGAGCCGTTAGGCGAGGGTGATATTTTATCTTGGCAGGTAATATATCCACATATATCACTCCAAAACCAAAATAATAATTTTATTACCCTTCCCCTGCCGAGTTTAGACGATTTTTTTAAAAAATCATTGCTGTTTCAAATGAAACGTCGAAATAAGATTCCCTTTAGGATACCTCTTCGTCACAACATGACGTCACATAAATACATGACGTATTTTTCCCGTACCTTACGAAAGTAAACAAGAGAAAAGGAGTAGTCTATTGAACGCACTTTTTTGTAATTAATATCAAGCTTTCACAAGGTCATATTTGTTTTCGATACTGATGGTAATATGTATCATTACTCTACTTTGGTAAATATTGATCATTTGACAGTTAAAAAAGTGCTTTTAAATCGGAATTTACACCGCGTAAAATCGAACCGTACGCGCATCACATCAGCGCATGTTGTTTACAACGTTGGGTACCAAACGGGGAAATTTAGTGTGTATATTACCCGTCTGGCTCGGTTATATCAATTTCTTTCGGGTGATCAATATCCAATCAAAAAGGCGGAAAAAATCTGGAAGGGTAATAAAATCCAATATTCGGAGATTAACAAATAAAATAATTTACATATTGCAATCGGAACTTACAATCCAAGAAAAATACTAAAAAGGGGTCAACATATGCAAAAACAGCCCTTACTGACAAAATACTGCAAAATAATGTGAAATTTAACTTGGATCTTGAATGTTTTATCTTTCTTAAAATGTTAGTTTTTCTCAGTATTGATTTTCTTGAATTATTGAGGCTTATCTGGAGGCGTGCAGCTTTATTGTAACTGTGTGATAATAAAACAATTGTGTCATTGTTAATAGACTTAGATTTACGACCGGAAATCCTAGTCTCAATGAATTGTGTACAAGTTTTATCTCCAAAGCTACAAACAAGTAGAGATTTTGATGCTAAAGCATCAAGTCGCCGGATAGAAAATGACTATATTATCATAAATATAAAAAAATCAGTTTAATTAATTGTTCAGGTATAAAGAAACGAGGAACAATTTATGTTGAGTAACTGTTTATTCACAATAAAACATCATTATATGAAGCAAACTTGCTTAGCAATATTGTTAAGGAACTGCTATGATTATTAAGCAAGTATTTCGTACGTTAGTTTACGTAACTTATTATGATTTATGCTAAAGATTTTATTGATAGTATAGATCTCGATATTAAATTAATTAATATGTGGTAAGTATAGGACGAAGTTGTGACCTAGTAGGCCAAATTCGAATCTTTGAAAATCCCTTTTGCAGTTTTCATAAAATATTTTTTTGCGCTATCGAAAAAAATAAGCTATTTAGTTGAAATCAATATTCCTGTCGTTACATACGATATAGTTAACGTTTAATTGCCTTTCAGTTCGATAAAATATTAACAAAAAGATATTTTATTAGTTTTCATTATTATGTGTCGTACCGTTTTGGTAACCTGCGCGACGGAAATCGACGGAATATAACGAAGACGACGATTACCACTATTTATTTCAATAAATGTGCCTCTTTAGCATAAATCTATTTTGTGATGTTCAACCTAAACTAAACTATTGAACATTGACAGAAAGGGCAAAATTTAACCCTTTACCAAGATAAAATGAAAAGGTTTTGAAAATTTATTTAATTCTTTAATGTACTAATCCTTTCTAATGATATAAAATATGAAACTGATTAATGAAAGATAACTTTGTAATTATTTATACATTTGCATCTAATTAGCCCCCATACCGTTTTCCAACTAGTATGTCTTATCAGCAATCTGTTACTATTAATAGATTCTATAACACTAACATACAATGTGTAGTCACGTGATTCTTACAATAGGACAGGGAGAATCTGTTTATAATTAGATAAAATAATGAAATATAATAGGTGTCATAAGATATAAAACAACCAGATAATTTAAATGTGTCATTTTAAATATCATTCATGATTTATCAATCATAAAATAGCAACGCTTGACACTTAGAAAAAAGTAAAAGTATCCCTAAATTCAATGACTGGTCCATAGGGATACGTTATTAATTCATTTTATGAAAATTGTAATATTACTTTTTAAGATGTCAATATTTGTATATTTCATTTCATTTAGCAACGTTAATTTATTTTTGAATTTTTAAGATTCTGAAAAATAATTGTGGTCCTTAATTGTTCAGTAATTGATTTGCTTTTATTTTCAGATTTTAAGGCCTTCTCCTACCATAGATATAATATTAAACTGTTACAAATATAGTCGCCGGTTTCTACCGGCGACTAATAAAGTAAATTTTCGCCATTTTATCAAAATTTATTACTTTTTCAACAACATGTATATTGTAAAAATATAAATCAAACTGTGATAAGATCCATAAAAACATTTTAAAAGGGAGATTAAATTAATGTTTCTCCATTTTCAAGTGTTCGTGTCGTATATCGAACAAGATGTCAGGGGAGATAAAAAGCCATATATTTGAACAGAGTTTACTCCCCTTTTGATAAAATCGGTATATATGTGTACATGTATACATAAATAACGCGCACGTGTTGTGAATATTTCAGTTCAACATGGACCTGGAGATATATCTAACTAAACCGGACATGACGTACCAGAAAGTAATTTTCCGGGACCTGTATCCATTATCGTTTACTCGACACAGTTTAGAAGAGGAGAAAATCTAGAAAATATATGTCTCATACTTGAGAATAAAGTGGTGCATCTATATCCATTGTGCAGCTATAGGAAGATTTGAAGAAAATAAAACTTTTACAAGTACAAATATTCGTCAAGTCATGTCATACATACATCTCTCAGGAAACTTATTCTTTTGGTAACCATGGAGATAAGCCATATGTACTTACATATCCGTACAGTTAACCAGGCTTTATACTGTAGATATTTAAACATTGAAATTCCTTGAACTTTGAATGGACTGTTCCAAATTCAAAGCAGGATGAATCTATTATACAAATTGAGCGGGTAGAGTTAGATCTGTTCATTTATCAGCTGTCCGTACATGAGTCTGTCTACAGTGTTCTTATATTATATCCACTAAAGAAATACATTCAACCTGGGACAAAAAAGAAATCCAAGATTCCGGATACCAGTATGATGTACAAATCTAAATAAATAACAACTCGTCATATCATAATGAGTGGCTACATGTATTGTATAGTTCCAGTCGACACTTGAGGTGTGGAGCTGAAAACGCCCTTAAAATAAAAAATGTATATTTGTAAATCCCAGCACATGTACTTATCATAATTATATATCATTTAAACTTAATATGAGCCGTTCTGAAAAAAGTCATGTTGAAGTTCTGAAAAAAAATCATATTTCAACGTCTAGAATTATTCTAGACGTCAAAACAGCTTCTATTAAGTTAAAATGATATATATTATAAGTAAATGTTGGCATTGACAAATATACATTTTATTTGGATTTTAAAGGCGTTTTCAGTTCCACACCACAAGCGTCTGTGTTACAGGCATTATCATTATATTATAAAGTACAAATGTCACTCGTTCGTTTTCTCGTGTATGTTTTACAGCACTATTACTGAATATTTAAAGGCATTAAATGTATATGAGACATATCTGAAGTACAAATAAAATGGACTTGATAAAAGTTATTTATTAGTTGCATTATTTGTTTTGTATATATCAAGCAGCCCCTTTAACACATGCTTGGTTTTGTCTGGGACACAGTCCCGATATAAACAAGCTTTTATTTTCACCCCTGCCCCACCCTGCCTGCAATTTCATCCCCCAAAGTCAGCGTGAAGAAGTCAAAAGTGGGGATGGGGAGGGGCGGTCTATAAACGTCCGTAATTAATAACATGCATACACCTGGAAAGGGCAAATCAACCTTCATTCTGTAATATAGTTGCCGACACTGGGATAAAAATAACAAGAGGGCCATGATGGTCCTGAAATCGCTCACCTGTATATAGGCACCTGGGCCAAGGCCAATTTTAAACCAGGGCCCTTATTTGAACAAACTTGGTAGACACCCATTAGAAGATGTTTCATGCTAAATATCTTAGCTCTAGCTCTATGGGGGTTTTAAAAGAAGAGTTTTTAAGTTTTTACTATATACAAATATGGAAAATCAATGACCCCCTGGGGCAGGGCCAATTCTTACCCCAGGGCTTTTATTTGAACAAACTTGGTAGACACCCACTAGAAGATGTTTCATCCTTAATATCTAAGCTCTAGCTAAAAGAAAGTTTTTTAAGTTTTATTATATACAAATAAGGAAAATCAATAACCCTCCCCCCTGGGCGGTGCCAATTTTGACCCCAGGGCATTTATTTGAACAAACTTAGTAGACACTGACTAGATGATGTTTCATGCCAAATATTTAAGCTCTAGCTCTTATGGTTTTCTGAAAGAAGATATTTTAAGTTTTTTTTCTTTCGGTTGCCATGGTAACCAGAGGTCTGCTTGGAATTAAATTCTTTGAACAACATTTTAAACAGTCTACCTAAGGAACATTCCTATGGAGTTTGGATGAAATTGGCAGTTTATGATGAGATGTCGTTTAAAGTAAAAGTTTACGAACGGAGGCTGGACGAAAAAGCGATCACAAAAGTTCACCATGTCACTTTGTGACAGGTGAGCTAATAACGATTTATTTAAATTAATATGATAGTAGTGGAGAAACGTTCATTTAAAGGAACTCCACTGAGGTACAAAACATAAAATTTGACAACCTTACAAGGCTCAAGTTAAACATTTAAAATTGGAAAAATCTGCATATGATTATAAAGAATGATACTTAGAATTAAATAGAAAATCGATTTTTGTGCAATTCTCGGCCGGATTTGAGTGAAAAGCTTTTCATTTTCGTGTCATTTGGAAAATAAAAATTATTCTGGAAAAAAAGTGGTGAAAGAATGACCTGAAAATTTGCTAACACGTTATAGATCTAGATCTGCATCAAATAGTTCATAAATCTTGGAAAAATAAATATTTCCAATCCATTCATTTCGAAA